ACCCTCTTTTCACTTTTAAAGTACTTTACACAGATTATTTACTTATGCATTTATTTGTATTTTAGGGAAGGGCCTACAGGGTGTTCAGGGTCTCACTACTAGATTAGACTCATAGTGATCTGCCTGTTCACATCCTCCCAAGAGCTAGAATTATAGGCATGTATCACCACTCCTAGTCTCAATTGCTGTCTCAGGGGTCCCTGGGGTGGGGCCAGCACATTTACATAGATTTTAATAAAGAAATATTAAGAGCATTCATTTTATTTTTATGAAAATGGCAAGTTTTTATCACAAAATATTTAGCAAATAACTTAAATCATACACTATTTAGCATAATAGTAAAATAGCACAATGTTACTCAAAATAAAATTTATAGAGAAAAAAACTCTCCATCCCAAAATGGCATAAAGAAGTGCCATAGTATAAAACCATCTATTCAATGAACTAAGAAGGACCTGAAGTATGTACTGACATATATTTAATTAAATGAATAGAGCATTTGAGAATTATTTAAATTGCTTTCTATTTCCTTTTTCTACTTTATCTTCTGATTTGGTCTTTATTTATAGATGTTTATCTTTTTCTTACTGCAATACATCATATAGATTCCTGCTTTGTTATCTAAATGTTGAAATTTCCAGTATTTACTAGTAAATATAACTTCAGAATTATTTATTTATTTTGTGTTTTAAGAACCTATCTCAAAAATTTTTTTAATCATGTGAAGATATTATGAAATGCATACTGACGTTAATTTAAAAATATACCTAGTTTTTAGAGAACAGTAGAACTGAATGAAAAGTACAAAGAATTCCCACACAAGTCCCGCCGCACACATGGACAGTCTCTGCCATGATCAATATCTTCTCACAGAGTGGCACATTTGTGATGTTTGATGAACCTGCATGGATGTGTCATTGTCTCCCACATCCCACTTTTTACACCAGAGTTCACATTTCATGTGGTGCAGCCTGCTTGTACAACAGCATGATCACATGTATCCACCACTCGACATGGTATCCATGCCAAGTGCAGCCATTCACGTAATGATCCTTTGTGTTCTACCTATTTATCCTCTCCTTTCTCCCACCCTCTGGAAAACAGGTCTCTAGGATCTGAGAGTCTGCCTTTTCCAGAATGTCACATAGGTGGAGTCATATGGTGTGTAGCCTTTTCAGATTGGCTTCCTTCATTTTGCAGTGTGCATTAAGGTTCTGCTGTGTATTTTCATAGTTTATTGCTTATCCATTATGAATGTTGAATCATGCTCCACTTTCTGGTTGTACCAAAGTTTATTCAATGACCTATTGATAAACATCTTTTTTTCTGGGAAAATTTTATTATATTTTTAAAATTTTTTTCCATAATTTTATTGAGAAACAAATAGCAGTGAGACAGTTTCATATCAAATTGATAGGACACTTTCAATAATTAACACATTGCATACTCTCTTCCTAGTGTTTAATTGCTGTACAAGATTTGGCCATGGTATCCTATTTACAAACACCATTAGAACAAATCCCTCTATTCATTAAGAGAAAGTAACTATACATCTATCCTAACCATTGAATGCACAGATACAAAATGGACATTCATCTGTATCCCCCCTTTTTTGTTAAGTTCCATTATTTGAATATTGTAGGTGTGTAAATTCAGCAAAATATTCTCAAAGAGTCCAGTAGTCCATAATAGTATTGGGTCTTCCGCTTAACTGGCAACGTCAGAAATTGTTGACCTCAGTCTCCTACAGTTCAACATAACAACATGGCTTTTCTTCTTATATTTCATTTTTATACTTTTATGCTGGATGGTTAAGACCAAGGTAAAGCAAGACCTATTCAACAAGAGTTGTAGCTTTTGGATCTGATAAGTTCAGTGGAATACCATCAGAATTTATGCTGAGATCCTGTACCTCAGATTGTAGATCCTTTGTCAGTGTCAGCCATGTGGATGAGTCATGGCCATTGCTTGGCCAATGTGCACTCTGTGAAAGCTTGAGAGAATGTTTTCTCTCCATGTGACTCTCCTTAGGCACACTCTACATCATCAATAACTTTCTTCTTTGGCCCCATAATCTCCTTGATCAAAAAATGTGGGACAGTACTGCGTTACATGATGTTACCGTACAAGTTCTCATATGTCCTGAGTCTTAATTGACCTTGGAAGGTGAGGGCCAAATTGTTGGCTTTCCTTACAGCCTTCCATTTTCTCTAATTTTGGTCTGCAAACTTAGGTTGTTAACACTCCAGAAGAGAAGCTTATTGTTATTACCATACAACCTCGGCTGATAAGCTTGTACACTGATTTTGTTTCCTTCACCAAACAGAAGAGTGCAGGAACACCACACCTGTTGACACTGAAAGAAAGGAGAGCTGGAAACCTCACCAGGTGTGTCCATCTACCAGCAAGAACTGGACAAGTAAGTAGTGTCTACACATTAAGGGAGGACAGCCCTAGGAAGTAAATGCAACATCCTCAGGGCATCAAGGCTTATGTAGAAAACACAACTGATTATTATATTTCCATAATCTTACATGATTATAAAGCAAACACCATTAACAGCAAAATTGCATGACATGTGTACATGCATAAATCTGAGAAAAGAAGAAAAACCCTCAAGTCATAAGACATTGCAAGCAATCATAATTCCTAGATGCTGTTATTATTGTCCAGGACACTCATATGTGTAATGTGTGCTACATTCTATGAGGCCCACATCCCCTGACCTACCTGTGTAGCAACATGACCCAACAATAGGGCCTCCCCGTGGCAATGAGAATGAGCCCAGCCCTGATGCATCAGTTCTGTACTGGAGCCCAGACCTAGATGCCCTAGTATTTCTGCTCAATGGTGTTATTGAGCACAGGTAAAAGTGTTTAATCTGAGCTTGAACACCTCATTAAAGTTCTTAACTGTAGTTTATGGAAAATAACAGGTCTTTAATATGTACTTGCACCTGAGTAGGATAAACAAGTGACATACGTGGGTTTCCTGAGGAGAATGACTCTGTGTTTGAAGGTGTTGTCTGTGAGGTGCCACAGGCTTATTGAGAAGAGCCCTGATGCAGCCCACTGCATGCTGAGGACACCTTTGCAAACACTGACTCTCTTGAGTCCTTTTCAGGAGCTGCAGAGCGTGCTGTTTCTTCCAGGCTTTGGGGAGGAGAAAATTGGGTTTTGCTAATTAGCAACTGGTGAAGGTAGCCCGTATTATGTTGCTTCCACGGAGGATTTATTGAGTATTCCAGAGACATCACAAGGACATAGTCTTCCTATGAATTATCATTCTGACTACTCAGGGCATGATTATGTATTATCAGAACCAGAGAAACAGTAAGGACACTGCAACAGGCCAGAAAGAAACCTCCTTCAGGGTCTCTGTGGCCAGCAGGGGGCGCAGAGGATCCACTGAGCACCAGGAGATTTCCCAGCATCAGGTGCAGAGAAGGAAGCTGGAGAGGAAGGGTTTCACATCATCCTTTGTGGTTTCCCCTCTGTCTTAACAGTGTGTGACCTGATGAGACGCTGCACACAGAACTTGTAGGTTTAGGCTGTGGCTTCATGAGAGGGTTGAAGGGATGGAATCTGGAGCTCTTCTGGTGCCTACAGGTCCCCTTTATGGGATCACCAGCCCTCTTCCAGGGAAGCTCCAGCTTATTCCTTACCCCTTTCAGGTTTCTCTACAGGGTCAGCAAGAGGCCATCGCTCTAGGACGTGGTCAAAAGATCAAGGACTCACTGAAATCCTCAGGAGCCTCTTGAATACATTTTCTGAGTTGGAGTCACTGTGGCAAACTATCCCTGTCCCAGACAGGGACCCATCTGAGTTTGAGGAAAGGCTAGGTTCTCAGCACCTCCTGTGTACTGCTGCAGGCTGTGGGTAGGTGTGCAAGCTTGAACTGCTTCCTCTCAGGCTTGAGTCCTCCACATTCAAAAACTCATTCAACAGTGTAGCTCAGAATTAATATACACTTTGATAAAGATTTCACTAAATGAGTTTATTTAACTCAGTCTCTCAAAAAGTGCAAATATGGTGTTTTAAGGTTTTGTGTATCTCAGTTGTGAGGGACTGGATCACAGAACATATTCTTTCAATCTGAAATTGTGCAGCATTCTGGAAGACACACGGAGCATGAGCTTCACTGTCTTGTTTTGGTGTTAATGTCAAGAATGGGTTATGTAGCAGACCAGTGGAGGATCACAGCACATGACAGGTATGTTGTATTGTAGGCCTATCAATGGGTAAAGATGAGGAATTCAGGTATCATATATAATTCTGGGGAAACTCCAAAATTGTGCTTTGTTTCATTGTGTATGAGAGCAGAATTTGTGACCCAAATAAAATCAGCCCAAACTATTAGGCAAGATTTAAGAAACCAAATCAAGATTCACGTGGAAATCACATCCCTGATGGGGTCAGGAACTCAGTCACACTCTGCAGATCACAGTGCAGTTCTGAGGAACAATAGTAGAACATATGGGACTTCATCAACCCAGAAAGGTACCTATGAAGCCATCTTATGAGGCTAAAATTAAAACTAAAGGAGCTCTTGGCTCATTCTGAGTACACATGTGGAATTGGCAGTGCTCCTCCCTGAGTGTCAACAATAGGTTCTGTTGATATGTGTACAGGTAGGTAGATGTCAATACACCTGATAAGCATTAGGGACACTGATGGACAAGAAGAAATTCAGGTGGCTTATGGACCATTGAACTTTGCATTCAGAGACCAGAGATTTCCTGTGGTGGGTGGATTCCTGCTGCGGAGCGATCTGTATGCTCCAGTTGTAAGGAGTGTCAGGAGGACATTTCCTCAGGCCTGATAAGTGCATTAATCTCAGGATCTCACTGCTGAATGCCCAATGTAAAATCTCTCCCAGCTTCCAGTTTGGAGTAGATCTATAATTACTAATTTTCCTGCCTCATGAATATGCAAATAATCAGAGACTGCTGAGGTAAATAGGGATGGTCTGTGTACCAGATCATCCTGCAACTATCTGTGGCTTGTCTAGAAACCCCAAGAGCACCACTCCATAACATGGACTGGACCTGGAGAATCGTCTTCTTGGTGGCAGCTGTGAAAAGTAAGGTGATTCCCAGTCCTAGCTCTGAGGAAAGGACCAGAGCTGTCAGGGGACCCTGTCTCCATCTTCTGTCTTCTCTCCTCAGGTGCCCAGGGCCAGGTGCAGCTGGTGCAGTCTGGGGCTGAGCTGAAGAAGCCCGGGGCCTCAGTGAAGGTCTCTTGCAAGGCTTCTGGGTACACCTTCACCAGCAACTACATGAGCTGGGTGCGACAGAGCCCTGGACAAGGCCTAGAGTGGATTGGGCAGATCTACCCTGGCAATGGCAATACTAATTATGCTCAGAAGTTCCAGGGCAAGGTCACCCTCACTGCTGACAAGTCCTCCAGCACAGCCTACATGGAGCTGAGCAGCTTGAAGTCTGAGGACACAGCCGTGTATTACTGTGCAAGAGACACAGTGTGGTAACCACATCCTGCACGTGTCAGAAACTCAGAAGGAAGAGCAGCTGCCTAGATGATGAGATGAGAGAGATGATGAGTCTAAAGATGTGATAAGAAAATTGGTGATGTAACTGAGAAAATGAAAGATAAAAACAGGTTTGCAATCTAATGAGTGGAATGATTGTTTATTATACACTTCAGTTGATCTTTGCTGTGCTTGGTGCTTGCCATACTGCAAAGAAGCTGTTATGGTTAGGATTTTTCACATGGCTGAATGTACAGTTGGTGATTTTCTTACAGTCTAGTGCTGGGATTATGGTTGTGAATTTTACAGCAGTCCTATGTTGAGCAGCTGGCATACAACAGAATGGGATACGAGGGTCAACACCACCCCTCTTACTGCTTTACTTGTTTTCTGTCACCAAGAAATCTCTTCCTCTTCCAAGATGTTTGCTATATTGAGCTGCCAAATATGAACTGAGACCTCTAAACACTGAGTCAAATGAACTTTTCATTCTTTATCTTTGGTTGTGAGGTGTTTTGTCATAGCCATGAGAAACTGAAAAACACAACTCCCTTGTAAAACACAAAGAAGGAAGAAGTCTCTCTACTAATAAGCCTGAAAGAAGTAGTTCCTAGAATATATTTGTGAGGACACAAGCAATATTGTCTCAGTTCACTTACTGGATTTGACCCACAGTTCTGGAATAGGTTTTCTTATTCCTGTTCATGTGGAAAGAAAACCTTTGCCATGTTATACCCATTGTGGAGTTCATCAAAGGATTCAAATTTTTGTAGAAAGTATATGTTTGTGAACTAAATTTGTTTTGAACAAGAACCATTCATCAATTTTGATGTGACAGAATTGCAAAAGAGTTGAAGAAATATCTAAGAGCAAAGTTTCACAATCACATGATATTGTTCTCTTTACTTAGTACAAAATTGCCAGAGTTTTGCTGCCATGTCTGTTTAGGAAAACTCACTAATTTTGAATCTTTATGCTAATAATGAATTTGAAAAAAAAAACAAAAAAAAAACAATGAATTTGATTGCAAAGTGGAGAGATTTCCCAGGTTCCTGTTTTCACCTTACATGTATAACCTGCCTCCCTACTAGGAACTTGTCTACAGTCCCTCTTCGTCTGAGTGGTAGGACCCACAGTGAAACACCAGCACTCCCACAGTCACAGCATGGACATTTCATTCCTTCTGCTGTGCATTCTTGCGATTTGCATAAATGTTTAATTCCCTGCCTTCCCCACAGGATTCATGCATGTCTAAATTATTTAGATGATCACCAGAAGCAGCCATATGGTGCCTTGGGGAAGTAGGTGGCTATTTAGCCGGGCAAGAGGTGGAGCCCTAGAAGAAGTGTGTAAAAGCAGATCACCTGCGAAGAGCCCAGTGGGCCAGGTTGGCTGTTGGGCTCTTTCCTGAGAAATCTCCTTGCATGCTCCCTACACACTTGGGTAAAACTGATGGTTCAAAAGCTTCCTTTTTGAAGCCTTTTGCAGAGGTCCCATCTAGGTCTACAAGCAGTCTTCATCCCCAGGGGAGGGCTGGAGATGGAGCTGAGGGAAGCATCTTAAGAAGGTACAGGAATGCATCATGCTCAGACCAGGAATGTGAGCACCCCATGTTCTAGTCCATTGCTGTCTTCATATAAATAAGATATTCCCAAACAGCCTTCATAGTGGAAGGACCACTTTCTTTTCCCATTGGCAGGGAATGTGTTCCTTAGTCCTTAAATCCTCAGGATTTTTTTCTCCATGTTTGCTTCTTCACATTTCTAAATGATATGTGTCACTTGGTTGTATAAATATGTTTTGCTACAAGCTTACTAAAAATCACTGGAATGTAAAATAAAAAAAAACATTCAAATTCTTATTCTTATTTTTTTTGAGAAATTATTTGGTTTGTTTAAAATGTTTCTTAAGAGAGCTGGCCAGATAGCTCAAAAGATTATATTGGCTGCTTAGGCATACTCAGGGGCCTGCTGCTTGATCCCTGGCCTGCTGTGCTGTGCCCCCCCTTGGGGTGAGTTAAAAGGGCGATTAAGACTGGGTGTGGGGTCTCCTGTCTGCAATCTCAGCACTTGGGAAGCTGAAAAAAAGGAAGGATCACTATGAGTCCGATCTGTGCTGTTAGATGCTGCAGACCCCATACTAATTACCTATAAATAAGTAAATAAATAAACAAAAAATAAAATGTTCCTCATTAGTTTCAGAGTGTAGATGACAGTGTGTTTCTGACCTGGTCAGTTTGGATCTCAATTTCTTAGCTTCCTAGAAATCCATTTTGCACTCTGGTAGCTGAGCTTAGCAAACATGTATTTTGTTTCAGAGAAGTGACTAACAAAGGAGATTATGTATTTTATTAGCGTTAAAATGAAAACATATGATATAGCAATGCTATTTCTAAATTTACCAATTTTACATAAAATTTTGGGGCTGGGGAGATAGCTTAGCAGAAGTGCTTTCTTGGCAAGTGCAAGGGCCTGAGTTCAATCTTCAATTAAAAAAAAAAAAAAGAAAGCACCAGGGGTTTTACATTTTCAGGAATGAAGATGACTTTTCTAATTTATGTAATCCCATTATATTGAAATACCTCTAATGAAATATTGATACTTAATGCCATGTTAGCAGCCAAGTATGTAGCTCAGCTGTTTAGTACCTGCCTTGCAAGCAAGAGGCCTTCCCTGAATTTGATTCCTGGTTCAAAAAATAATTAGTCATATTATGTTAAATATAGTAGTCCTACAAAATCTTAATAATAATTTCAAAATTAAAATAGAAAGATATATTCCTGTATTTGACAGGAAATACAAGAAAAAGAAAAACTTTCAGCAAAGATAATTTCCAGAGGCTCAAAGAGTAGTAGCATTTGTCAGATACTTGATAACAAATATTGCGTAGATAATTACATTACATTTACAGAATAACAATCATATTACAATACGTATGTTACATTAATACTGATAAATATGCACAATAAAACAAAATTTAATGATATAAAAATAATTACATATTTTATTGTAATAATACTGCTAAGAATCATTTTGATGCATAATTGAATCCCTTGTTTTTGTACTACTGGAATCATTTGGCAAACATTATCTTTTTTTCTACTTTTCTTTTTTTAATTCATTTTTTTTAGCTGTCATGTTGATTTTTAATGTGTACCATTTCTAACTTCATATCAATTATTACTACACTCTCTATAAAACAAAATTTTTCAAAATAATTGTCTAAATTAATGTAAAACCACAGATGTAATTCCAAGCTTAACAAGCAACAAACAATTCTGGTACACAGATCTGCTGTTGAAACCTTTTTAATTTCAGTTAATGTACTTTTCATTCTTCAAGTTTCTTATTTGATTCTTTTCATAAATTTCAGCCTTAATGATGTTCTGTATTTTTTTTCATACATTTATTGAGAAACAAATAGCAATGAGACAGTTTCAAACCAAACTGGTAGGACAGTTTTAATAATTAACACATTGCATACATTCTTCCTAGTGGTTAATTGCTGTACAACATGCAGACATGGTATCCTACTGACAAACACCATTAGAAGAAATCCCTCTATTCATTAAGAGAATGTAACTGTATATCGATCCTAGGCATTTGAAAACACAGATACAAAGTGGACATTCATCTGCATCCCCTTTTTGTTGTTAAGTTTGGTTATTTGAATATAATAGGTGTGTAAACTCAGCAAAATATTCTAAAAGAGTCCAGTAGTCCATAACAGTATTGGGTCTTCTGCTTGACTGGCAATGTCAGAAATGGTTGACCTGAGTCCCCTACAGCTCAACATAACAGCATGGCTTTACTTCTTATATTTTGTTTTATACTTTTCTGCTGGATGGTTTAGACCAAGGTAAAGCAGGACCTAGGCAATAAGACTTGCAGCTTTTGGGTCAGATAAGGTCAATGAAATCCTCTCAGGATTTATCCTGAGATCCTGTGTCTAAGATTGTAGAAACTTGTTAGTGTCAGCCATGTGGATGAGTGACAGCAATTGCTTGGCCAATGTGCTCTCTGCAAAATCCTGAGAGAATGTTCTCTCATCATGTGACTCTCCTTAGGTACACTCTACATCATTGATCACTTTCCTCCTTGGCCCCATAATCTCCTTGATCAGAAAATTTGGGACACTAATGAGTTACATGACGTTACAGGACACGTTCTCATATGTCCTGAGAATTAACTGACCTGGGAAGGCTAGGGGCAAAATGTTGGCTTTACTTGCAGCCCTCCTTTTTCTCTAATTTTGGTCTGCAAACTTAGATTGTTAACCCTCCAGAAGACAAGCTTATTATTATTACCATACAACCTAGGCTTTTAAGCTTAACCTCAGTATCTGTCTGAATATCAGACATCTAAGGCATAACATGGAACAGGTATTTTTCATCAAGTTTTGATATGTTGAACTTTAAGTTCCTACAGAATATGATGAAAAAACATTTAAAAATGGGAATATATTTAAAAAAGGCATAAATAAATAATACTTCTTATGTTTACACATAAGTCCAAAAAACTAACCATATAGAACCTTGAAGCAGGACAGTCCCACAATATTCCTTTTCCTGTCTCTTGCTTTCATTCACCACCGCCTTCTTTTTGAACAGTCATCTACCCAAGAGATAGCACGGAAGCAACTGCCATGCCATTATAAGCAGCCCTTATTCAGAGGACCAGAATGACAGGCACTCCAAGCATGAAACTACTATTACAGATTACCATCTTCACTGCAGTTTCTTAGTTCACAGGTATCAGTATATATAGTTACTCAGTCAGAATCTTTCCAATTAACTGCTAGATACAAAAATCTTCTGGAGATTCTCAGGATCACTGCCTTGCCTATCTTCTACATATAACTGTATGACTTGTCACTGTCATGTTTCCTAGCTCTTCTTCTTTCCCTCTCTGAATTAGTTAGTCCTTGAGTACCTGCTTTCCTTTATCGTGTATTATACCTTTGTATTTCTATTTCTTATTTTGAGTTGTCATACTAGGGAAA